TCCAAAACAAACTTTATATTGTTATATCCTAATCCGTTTATCAATATTTTATACCAGTAGTCATAGAAAGTTTATACTACCTTGGTTACCTTGGTTACCTTGGTTATTACAACTAGTGTAATATGCTGTTGCATCAACACAAACTTAATTTTCTTTTTACTTTTTAAATTTATTTATTTTCGTTGGAAAAAGTTCAATTTTGTAATGATCCATGATCGGGGAAGAAAAAAAGCAATGGGACTTTTTATTCTATTTTCACCGGAGTGAAAGTAACAAAGGTATAATTAAAGTAAAAAATAAAGTCTTTAAAATAAAGGTTGCTACATGGCTAAAATAAGTAGGCCAAAAATTCGCCCTCCTAGGCTCTTTTTAATTTGTGTCTAGTTGGTTAGCAGCTATGTCTTAAATTCACCATATTTTAGATTTAACAAATTATAAAATTTCTATTATATTAGCATCCGAGGACTTCGCCATATGATGTTTATTTTCACACAGCTTTTAAATTGTTTTTTTTTTTTTTTTTTTTTTTTTTTTATCAAAAAAGCATTTTTTTTTTTAATCTTGTTTGGACATAATCTCTTAATTAAATATTTTTTTACTGATAGTTAATTGCATTTGCAACAAAATTAATAACTTTTTAGCGAAATTTATAAAATCTATTGATAACTTATAAGAAACCATATTGTTAAATATTAAATACTTAAAAATAGAAGATTATATTTATCAGTAAAGCATTTCTATAAATATTTGTTTATTAATGTGCAAATAAAGTTTCTATTGGTTGGAATGTGTAAAAAAAAGTATAAACAACTTTACTTCAAAATGCATTTATGATACTCCGAGGTAATACAAATTTTAAATGCACTCGAAAAAATTTAAATGCACTCGAAAATAATTTCTGTGCTGATTTTTATGAATGATTCCATTGATTGTATAATGTTTATTAGTTTGTCAAAGAAAAAATAAAAAAAATTAAAAAAAAGTATAAACAACTTTACTTCAAAATGCATTTATGATACTCCGAGGTAATACAAATTTTAAATGCACTCGAAAAAATTTAAATGCACTCGAAAATAATTTCTGTGCTGATTTTTATGAATGATTCCATTGATTGTATAATGTTTATTAGTTTGTCAAAGAAAAAATAAAAGTAAAAATGTTTAAAAACTTTAAAAGCGTTGTTCAAAAAAAGAACAATGGATTTTATTTTAGTTATTAAAATGCTCTAGGAATAACTTACGGTCTTACTTCAGAGCAGCAACGAGTTCGCGAAGCTCGCGCCATTGAAGCAACGAGCATTCGCGAAGCTCGCGCCATTGAAGGAAGCTCAGGTATTGAACCTTGAACTAATTGGTTTAGAATTCTAATCACTGGGTCAGGACTGCAGTGATTAGAATTCTAATCACACTTATGTTGAACTTTGTTCTTTTTATTTTTGTTGTTGGGTGGGAGTACTATTTTTTTTACAACATCGAAGACTTAACGGTAAAGATTTTTTGATAAAAAGATCTAACATAAAATCTGGATTTAAACCATTTATAGATTTAAAAACTTCAGTTAACAAAAACCTTAAATTTCTAATGTGGATACTTGGAATATTTTCTATTTTTTGAATTTCTTCTAAAGAGCGATCAAATTTTTATAGACAATGTGAAGTCCTTTTTGATGAATTTTATTAATTAGGTTGTTATTATACTTCGAACAAAACATCCAAATCAAAGGACAATAGGAAAAATTAACAGTATAAAAGCATTGAATAAAAAAGTAGCTTGTTTTACTCATAAGAAACTCCTTATTAGTGAAAGAGCAAAGCATTTACTATTCGCTTTTCCACACAGACTTTTAATAAGATCATCAAATTTCAAATCCTTATCAATTGTAACCCCAGAAGTTTAACCTCAGAGGAAACCATGATTTTTACATTCCCAACCATTATAAATTGACCTTAACAATTTTTTAAACTAGCTAAAAAAATTGTATTTTTTCCAGATTTGCAGCCATTTTATTCAAAGTAAACCATGAAACCGCGTTTGATGTATCTATTTGAAGACGAGCAATAACACTCTCTAGGTTATTGTCACAAACAGAAAGAGTGTTGTCATCAGCATAGTTGCAGAGTCTTTTATAAATAAGAAAAAATTGTTTATAAAATTTTAAAGAAAATTGTTCCCAAAATTGAGCCTTGAGGTACACCAGATTCCATATCTAAATATTCAGAAAAAAACGATCCTAGTCTTACCCTTTGTTTGCGAGCAGAAAGGTAAGATAATAAGAGTTTGAGGCTATTGTAAGAAAACCCATAACCTTCCAACTTAGCTATAATCAAATCATGTGGAATTGAATTATATGCCTTTGATAAATTCATAAGCATAGCGCTAACTATACCTGCTTTATCCAAGCATTCGTGCCACTTATTAACTAAATTAAAAGGTGCGTGCTGTGCACTACACCCTCTCCGAAATCCACACAGCAATTTGTTAAAGCTTGGTTCTATAAAAGCCCGTATTTGCTCGTAAACAAAATTTTTTTAAATAAAAAATAAGTACTTTTGAAAGAAATCATATTTTTTGGAGTTTTTGATATATATATATATATATATATATATATATATATATATATATATATATATATATATATATATATATATATATATATATAACTTGAAAAATATATATATATATATATGTATATATATATATATATATATATATATATATATATATATATATATATATATATATATATATATATATATATATATATATATATATATATATATATATATATAACTTGAAAAATATATATATATATATATATATATATATATATATGTATATATATATATATATATATATATATATATATATATATATATATATATATATATATATATATATATATATATATATATAACTTAAAAACTCCAAAAAAAAATACGATTTCTTTCAACACTATTCATTTTTTATTAAAAATTTTTTTGTTTGATATGACCTAATCTCAATTAGTGAAAACAGTGCCAAAACATTTTAGACTAGCAACGTCGTTCTATACAATATATAGTAATTAAAGTTGAATACACAGCAAGACACTTGATGTTATTGATATAACAATTATAATTATAAAATAGGAAAATACGAGTGTAAAATATATCAAAAAGAAGCAAAGATTAAAACGCATTATGTCACAATCCAAAAATTTTGAATCGTGGTTTGACTTGGCGGGGCTCACTTGATTTGCAGTAAACCTTTTTTGCAAAACACAATGAGTTTTTTAATCGATGTATTCATCGAAAATTAGCATGACGATAGACAAATGGCTAATATTGCGCATCTATTTTAACAATAACAAACAAAAAAAAAAAAGTTCGACCCAAATGCAATAATTTTCCTGTAGTTACTTTACCATGGAAACTAGGTACTTTCACTAAAACTTGTGAAAAAATGACTTAAAAAAGTACGGATAAAATGCAGTAATTAAATAAAATACTAATTTAATTTGGAAACTACATAATAAAGTGCAACTGTTCTTAAGTGCATGTAGGTAAAACAAAAATGCCACATGAGAATAGCATTCATGAAATTAACATAAAACAAACATTTAAGAAAAAAGCATTGCCAATCTGAGGTCAAAATTATGTTTAGGAGGCTATTTTTTATATTCAAGTGGGTTTCAAAGGGGTTCAGTTTCAACACCTTAAATCAATGACAAAATTTTATTGAAATTGTAACGGTTAAAAATAATTGTAAAATTTAACAATTTTTTATCAATCATCAATAGATCGGTATATTTTTATTTTGCTGTCAAGATCATTTACAAATAGTTTGTTTATCTATCCTCAAACAACATTTGTGATAAAAAATAATAAACAAAAAGAAACAGTTGTAGCAATAATAAGATAATAAACTAATAATAGTATAATAAATACACAATAACAATTGAATATACATTCAATTGTTTACACAGACGGAGAAAATTACAATCATACTTAGAAAAAAAGTGGCAACCTACCAAGAAATAAAAACTATTATTGTATTAAATAATGATATAAATGGCAATCATTATAAAAGGAAATTTAAGTATTATGTTTATAAATGTATCATCAACAGAAACTAATCAATGAAAAATAAACAGAAAAGCTTGATTATTTCAATAAAAAGAAAAAAACTCACACATTTATACATAAATAAACTTTTAGACACAAAAATATAGAAATAATCATAGTTATATTATTTCTATTTCTTATGACGACGGTATAACTAAAACAAAAAACAGCACACACGCACGTCCATAACAACAACAACAACAACAACAACAACAACAACAACAACAACAACAACAACAACAACAACAACAACAACAACAACAACAACAACAACAACAATAACAACAACAACAATAACAATAACAACAACAACAAAAAACGTAAAAAGTATAAAGAGTTTAACGAATAAAAAAATTGAAATAAAAGAAGTAATCATTTTATAATAGTAATAAATCATAGTCCCGAAAATCCGAAGAGATTTTAAAGGGACGAGGGTGTGTGTGTGTGACTTTGTCGAGTAAGAACTAGAAATTTTTTTGACGACTAAGATCTATAAGAGTCCCAATTTCCGACTAAATAATTTTCTAGGAGGGCTAAAACCCCTACGCCCTCAACCCCACTCCTCGGGACGACCCTGATGATAACATTTAAAGCTAATGAAATATAATAGCACAATTTTTTAGATTTATTTGTAAAAGTGTTCACAATTTTTCACAATTTTTTTGATTTAAGGGTTTTTGAAAATAGTATTTTTAAAAAGCCCTTAAATCCAACACAAAATAAATCAATGACTAGACTTGACTAGACTTGGGTTATCAATCATCAACTAAATTTTTCAACCAATCAAAATTTTAGTTATTGCTGTTGTTTGTTTATTTGACGATGTTTTGTTATTGCCGCCGTTTTTGTCGTTTAAGAACAAAAAATTTTATATTATCATTTGGAGATTTCATTAGATTTTATCATTCATTTATTTCTATCTATTGGTTATAGATTTTGTAATTTTGATTGCAAAGTTTTTTTTGTGAATATTTCCAGGTATTTAAGTATAGTAAATTTGTATTTAAAATAAAATAAAATTTAAACCACATATTTTTTTCATAAAAAGTTTTATAAATGTTCACTTTTTTAATTTTATTTTATTGATAATATTTTTTAAATAGAAGCTTTTTTTTTTGTTGTAACAATGAAATTATTATAGTTATTATATGTTAATATTAATATTTGGTAAAAATTGTATTATTTATTTGCAATATTAGTTTTGGCTAAAGTGTTGTTTTAAAATTTAGCCTAAATCTATAAAAAACTAAATAATGTTAGTTACGTTTGAAACAACAACAACAACAAGCAAACATACTAAACTTTGTTAAATAAATAATATCAGTAATATTTGGAAATACTAAATAATGTACATATTAAAAATTTTAAACATACTAAACCTTATAACTGAAATCTTAGTTAATCTTAGTCCATGGCTGAAAAACTAATTATCTAACTAATATTTATGCTTCATATAAAATACTGCTTTAATTTTTCTTAAAAAATTTGTTTCAGGAAGCTAGAAAAAACAAACAAATGTTCTATTTATTTATATACTTAAAAGAGCCTAGTTTTAATTTATAACCAATAATATTATTTTGGCTCAGGAGAGCTATTATTGTATTAAGTCTATAATAAGAATGATAATATGTATTTTTATTTCACCTTTTAATAGAAGCAAGTTGTTTTGCAAACACAATAATTTATCAATGAGCTGGAATTTTACTGAGTCTTTAGGTTTTTTGTTAGAGAATGTTTTTTTGTTTTTCTTATAAATACAAGTCCTGAAGTCCTGGAATGATAAATAATAGTTGAGAACCCACATAATGAGATTTGTGATTCTAAACTACAATTAATACAAGTACTTAATATGTTTTAACATGAGTCTAGAATTTTAGATTTACTTGATTTTGATTTCCAAATAATACTATTGTATTTCCTGAGTTGTTTTATTTGTCACAATCTTTATCAAGAGGAACCAATCCCTTAAATATAAATATAATCAACATGTTTAGTTAAGCTAAACATGTTTATTATGTTGAGGGGAAACTTATATACAACCCTTCGTATCTATTATTTAGGATTTAAAAAATTGTATTCAAAGCAACATTGATAAAACTCATCAAATCAGTCTTTATTTTTAATTCAAAATTTTTTTTTTCTTCTTCATTGAGTTTTAAGTTTAATCTAGATATAAAATTTAAATCAGTTTTTAGATAAACTAAAATAGTTTTAAATTATTTAAAAACTCCATATAGTTACAGTAAACAAACACTCAGTCCATTGAACCATGTGTCTTCTTTTTGTTTTATATTTTGACACATTATTCCTAATTATAAAAAAATATTGCATGCAAAATTTCAGCTTAAAATGTTGAGCAGTTAACAAGATACTGCATTTTTAGTATTGACCTGGTTTTCCAAAATAACCTGGTTTTCATAACATTCTAAAAAAACATTTTTCTTAAAAAAAGAAAGAAAAGAAAAAAAGGCTAAAATATGAAAATAAACATATAAGTTTTTTTGATGCTGAATTCAATAAATATTCTTAAAATGCTGAAATATAAAAGGAACATGCTTAAAAGTTAATAAAACAATTAGTTTCTATAAACCAACTTTGGGGCCCAATATCTCAAAACACCTCTTTCAAAAATTATTTTTTTTTTTGCTGTTAATATTTGCAGCTGCTTATAATCTTGCTAGGCACAAAATATCTAACTGGAAAAACAACTGAAACATATGGAACTTTCAATTTCAAATATGTATTCCTTTTTCAAAAAATTCCCTAAAAATATTTGTAAATAAAATTAAAATAAGTGAATCGTAATTTAAAAAAGTACTTAAATATACAAGACTTTTTAAAGGTATTGAAAATGTTAGTTATTTTGACTGTGTTTGTAATAATTTGCAATATTGTTCTCATTTTACTTGTACTTATTCTATTTCCGCATTTTCAAATACTTAGTTTCTACCAAAACTAGAGCAAGCTTGTAGAACAGAACTTTCCCCAAAATATTAACTAAACTTTTTTTAAGTTTCTTCACCTTTTGGGTGTTAAGTTTCTTCACCCAAAAGTTAAGTTTCTTCACCCAAAAGGTGAAGAAACTTAACAAAAGTTAAGTTTTTTCACCTTTTGGGTTTAAACTTTTGCATCAACTTCTTCTAGGTTGATTTAAGTTACAATGCTGATCCATCACTTATCATCACAGACTACAGCTACATAACCTCCTAATTGACAGTATCAAGTTGAAATATATCTTGTTTCTTTTTAATATTGTAGATTGTTGTATATGCAAGACAAAAAAGTTCCATTCAACTTTAAGGGCAAAATTGCTCTTTAGTTGGCATAGATTGCAAAAGCTTTTACAATTTTTGTACTGTCCTGCGCATTTATCATCTTTATAGTATACCACTAATGGATGTAAAGAACATTGTTGGATGTTCCAATGATAGCTTTGCATTTCATCTTGGACTACAAAAGTTTAATTTTCAGCAAAGTTGCCAATAATGATAATGTTTGATTGATCCATATTTTGTTTTAGTTAGTTAAGGTACTGTGATTGAGAGTGAGCATTAAAAGAATGAGCTTGTAGCTTTTTAAAGCAAGATACTTATAGTTCAACAAACATTGGAACATCTGCTGTTAAACTCAATAGTGTTGCATGATCAGTAGTTTGCCATTGCTTGTTGTGTATCTCAAAATCATCTTGGTTTTTTTAAAAAATCTCATACAAATATTTGGTGAGGGTTTCTTTACCAGGACAATCATCACACTGTGCAAGCATGCATTATTTGTTTTCTACTGAGCAAACAGTTTTTAAAAGTAAATCTTTATACTTTAGTCTAGCAATATGGCATTTTTGTGATAAGAACAAACACAAACAGAATGTGTTCCAGTTGCACCTGGCAAAATGCACCACTTTAGTCCAAGTGAAGCAAATTTTGAATAACTTATTTTTATTTCTGGATTTTTTTCTTTGTATGATTCATATTGTTCCTTTAAATTACTCAAAAACAGTTTTTATTGTTTATGAACCTTCCTTTTGAATGCTAACATAATCTTTAAAATAAAACAATTTAACATAATCTTTAATTGTTTGTGTAAGACTTTACCTTTATATAGTGAAGAGATAGCTAACAATCTTTTTTTATTAAAAATTTGTCTAGCCATCTTTGCTTGGTATTCTGTAACTGTAAAGTAATTTTTTACTTCTAATATCGACCAACTTGGGGTGCCAGTGTTAGAATTTGAACAATATTCCTTTTGTCAGAACATAGAGTTTTTTTTTTTATCAAGCTCATAATTTCATCAAAGTTTTCAGCGTTCTTTTTCATGTTATTTGTTTCATAACACAGTTTTGAGAAAACATTGACTTGACTTTCCATTTTTCTTCTAACGTTACTTACCATTATGTTGATGCGCGCAACTTTTCGCTTTCCTTTTGAGAGTATATGTTTTGATGACTATAATGAGTTTCAAGTTTCAATAATATCTTGTTGGCCTTTGCATTTATTTGATGTTATTAAACCAATAGAACACATCTTATAATAAATAACTTAGTATAAATGTATCTCCTAAAAAAAAAAGAATTTTTCTTTTCTACTTAATTTTGAGTAAAAAAAAAATTTAATAAATAAAAATTAAGAAATAATTCAGAATCCTTCTGTTGTACAATTTTTTACACTAATAGATGTTGTTAATTTTCTTTATAGGTATTTATATTTATACAATCTACATATATATATATATATATATATATATATATATATATATATATATATATATATATATATATATATATATATATATATATATATATATATATATATATATATATAAAATATATATATATATATATATTATATATATATATATATATATATATATATATATATATATATATATATATATATATATATATATATATATATATATATATATATATTATGGTGGGGCAAAACATAACAAATTTTCCTATTAAGTTATTCAGTTCTTTATATGAAAGTAATTATTACACAAAAAACTGATTTATAATATACATCATCGTTTTCTAGCAACTTAGTTTGCAAATTATCACACTTTTGAGTCTTGCTATCATATAGGTTTTTGTCTTTAATTTCATATCTTTGTAAGAAAATAAAGCAAGTATGGCATGCATTACAAGTATCAAACATACAAATGTTAAGTATAAGTGTCTTACTTATGGTAGGAAATCAGCTTTAGTTTCTAAACTAGGCAAGTCTATTCTCGTATTCTTCATTTGAACGATAACACCATGGCGTAAATTGTGTCTGTAAACTTTACTGCAGACCGTCAATATATCTTTGACATTTCTCTCAACATCTTGAGAATGGCATAGAAACTTAGGTAGAATAACTTTTGAATGACTAACAATTGTTTCTGACGTAATCTCATCCAGAGGTGGGGGTGAAGCTTAGATGGCCTTGTTCCAGTCGATCATGTCTAAGTATGACTTGCACATGATGTTTATTTTGATCAAGCTTTTGTCAAAACAACAAATTCTATCATCGGAATGTTCACTACGAGTATGCAAAATTTTTTTAAAAAGCAAATTTCCAATTGATATTTTCATCATCACTAACAGCTGCCACCAAGATGTTTTCCGGATGGCAAAAGTAGCTGTTGTTTTGCAATACTGGTGCAACAAACTCCTGATCAGGCTTTTCAAGTTTCTAGTAAAGCGACAGCATGAGAAGAAATTATTGGTACCATCTTGGCATGTCGGATGAGATTTGATATGAAACTATGACGGTGTATAGAAGTTCAGTATGAATAAAACAATACGTCGAAGATTATGGGAAGGACTTTGTTTGCAAACATACAAACTCAACAAACGGTTGGCTTTAGTTAGCCATCTGGCATGACTGACTGCACCAGGTTGAGCAGTTTGTAAGTAGTCAATGTAATTCTTACTGGCGTTGTAACCACATTGAATTAACAGACATGTTTTAAGTTGGTACACCTGATCTATACTCAGG